GCATACCAGGACATAAATATGTCAATATTTCTTTCATTAGCTTTAGCTTCTATGTTTTAGTTTCAGTCTCTTGTGACATCGTTTTGGTCTTTCCTTTCCTTTCTGTCTTTTGAATGACCTATTGCTTCCTTTCTGCATCATGTTCTTGATGTCATCTCACAACAACTTTGGTCTTTGGTCATTAGTGTCTAATGCATCAAATTTAGAAAAGGGTCTTTTAACTTCAAGCGGGATCTATTCAATATTATATTTTGGCTCTTGTGGACTTGTTTTCATTTTCTTCAGTTTCAGCCTGAAGTTGCATATGAGCAATTGGCGACCTGTTCCACAGTGGGCCCCTGACCTTGTTTTGGCTGATGTTATTGAACTTTTTTATTGTCTCTTCTGACAGACGTAGTCAATTTGATTTTTGTGTATTCTATCTTGTGAGGTTCACATGTATAGTCACCATTTGAGTTGTTGAAAAAAGGTATTTACAATGAAGAAGTTGTTGATCATGCAGAATTCTATCATGCAATCTCCAGCATCATTTCTACTTATCAAGGTCATATTTTCCAACTCTCCTATTCTGATTACCAGTAATTATCAGTGCATCTTTTTTTTTCTTCAATGCATCTTGATCAATTTCAGACTGAAGTTGGTAGAACTGTTCAATTTCATCATCATTCGCTTTAGTAGTTAGTGAATACATTTGAGCAGTAGTGGTAAGATGGATTGGTCTTTCTTGTAGGTGTATGGCTATTATCCTATTACACACAGCATTGTAATGCAAGATAGATCTTGAAATGCTCTTTTTGACGATGAGTGTGATGATATTTCTTTTCAATTTGTCATCTGAGCATAGTAAACCATATGACTGTCCATTTCAGTTGAGGAAGACCCCCAACGAGATGGATCAGCCAGGTGGCATCATTGATGGCGTCAAGTGTGGCAGCGGTAGTGAGGTTGGCCCAGGATTGGACATTGTTTCATTCTGCTGTGCATGGGGTCGCTATGAGTCGGTTCCAACTCGATGGCACCTGACGACGACAACAACAACAGTACCTAGGATATTGATCTATTTCGCTTTTGACAACTTCCAGTTTTCCTAAATTCATACTTCATAATTGCATGTTTTGATTATTAATGGATGCTTGCAGCTGTTTCTCATTTTGAGTTGTACCCCATTAACAAATGAAGGTTCCGAAAGATTTGATTCCTTCAAGTCCTTAGGGTAGGTTTTACTTTAAGGAGTTATCTCTTCTTCTCTAGTTTTATTTTGAGTACCTTCCAACCTAAGGGGCTTATCCTCTGTCACTATATCAGACAATGTTCCACTGCTTTCATAAGGATTTTAGAGGCTAACCTTGTGCATCTGAAATCAGAGTGTTAAGAAATTGGGGGCCTTGAGAAGATTTTAGCCAAGCCAATGTAAAATGGAACCTAATAGCCATCTTTGTGCAACAGTTATGATTTAACTCCCTCCCTAGCACAGTTACTCCATAGGGTAAGCACTAGACTTCAAATCACAAGGTTGGTCGTTCAAGCCCACCACTTGCTCCATGGGAGAAAGATGAGGCTTTCTGTTCCTGCAAAGACTTATGGTGGTGGTGGAGTGCTGTGGAGTCGGTTCTGACTCATAGCGACCCTGTACAGGGTTTCAGAGGTTGTAAATCTTTACGGGAGCAGAAAGCCTCATCTTTCTCCCACGGAACAGCTGGTAGTTTCGAACTGCTGACCCTGAGATTAGCAGCCCGATTTGTAACCACTACGCTACCAGAGATCCTATATAGGGTCTCTATGACTCAGAACCTACTGGACTGCACTTAACAACAACTTGCTGCTTTCTGTAATCAATCACTTCTGACTGTACCCCATGTTCCCTAATTGCCTTTTCCTAACTATCTTTCCTAATCACTATCTTATAATTAATAGCTTTTTAAATTTAGAAGATTAATCACTTTTTAAAAATCTTTAAAGCCGAAATGGCCCTAATAAAAGAGGAAACCACTCTGCTGAGAACAAAGATCAAATAGCAAACAGAAATGGTTGATTGATTACTATGTCCTGGACATGAGCTCCCAAACTCCTGGCATGACCACCTTAACTACAACAATGGAAAGACAATGTAACAGTGTCTGGCCACAAGTTCTGCAGTCCTGATTTTCTTCCCCCTTAAAAGTCCCAGGCTGCCTTCCAGTCAGAGGCAGATCTGGGAGCATCCTGCTCCTCTGTCCCCCTGTATTGTTGTTGTTCTTAAGTGCCATTGAGTTGGTTCTTACTCATCGTGACCCTGTATAGGGTTTTTGGAGAGCAATTGGTGGATTTGAACCACCCATCTTGTGGTTCAATAGATATGCAAATAAACGTTTTGCTTTCTGCTCTGAGTCCTATCTCTTAGGACTGGCTATGTTTGTGGCTTCAAAACCCTTTTGCAATAACACTCCTCTCCTTCTTCCGAATCTGTCTTAGTCTGACAGCTGTCCACCATGGGTGACCCTGCTGATATTTATAAGACTGATGGCACAGCTTCCAGCATCACAGTAACATACAAGTCACCATATTTGTTTGTCACAGGACAAACTGACAGACAAGTAGTAGCTTCTGAAAATTAGCCAGTGAATACATTATGGATCACAACAGTACACCGTGGGACTAGTTTGCTTTGGCCATGTTATCATGAGGACTCAATCACTAGAGAAGCACATCAAGCTTGCTGAAAGACAGGGCCAATGAAAGCATGGGTGACCCTTGGTGAGATGGATTGGCACAATAGCCACAAAGATGTCCTTGATCATTGTCAGTGATTATGAGAATCACGCAGGCAAAGCGGTTTCATTCTGATGGGATGGCTACTAACATCTGTTGTTAAGTGCCTTCAAGTAGGTTCTGACACATACCCACCCTGTACAGGGTCTTTTTGCAAGGCTTTAAGAAAAATCTTTGCAGTAGCTTGAACTGCGACCTTGTGGTTTGCAGACCAGTACTTACCGTATGGAGCCACTGCGCTCCCAGCTAACAACATTGCTAGCCTATTTTAGAATTGTTGGTATTATCATAAGGTATTTCCAATTGGAGGAAGAATGACTTATAGAGGTTAATAGGGTTTAAGTGGCGGGACTAAGAAGAGCAGTCAGAACTGAAGAGCAAGATGTATTAAAGAAGACAGGCAGGCATCTTCAGTAACAAAGGTTTACGGATGGTTGGAAATGAACAATATAAATCTTTAAACAACAGAACGAAATATGATGACCCTAGCTGCCTGAAAGATTAGTTTTGATTATACACTAAATACAAAAAACATGTTGGAGGAAGGTAAAATTGTAGTTTTAACTTCCCTGTCCCTTTTCCTCTCCCAATCCGTTTCTTGCTTTTCAGATGTCCCAGGGTTTCTATTGTCTTAGGTGGAACCAGCCCACCAGGTTCAACTACTTTTCCACCACATCCTAGGTGTGCTTCTGAGTGAAGCACGCTGAGAAGGGTAGGGCAGAAGTATGAATATTGGAGCAACAGAAAGTAAAAGGAAGGTACAAATGTCTGATGGTGAGAGAGCGAAGGGACAAGAGGGTAAGGCAAAGGAACAGAAAGTGCGAGCAGGAGTGCTGCATGGGGGTGGGGTAGGTTTCACTCTTGTTCAATTTTGACAATGGTGGCTCGATTTTTGGGAGGAGGGCCCCTTCCGCTCAGTAAAGCTCTAGGGCTCTCCTAGATTCCAAAAAGACAGCAAAGCCCTGGAGCGGGTGTTCTGTGCAGATCACAGCAGCAAGCTTCCACTCCGTGGGGGAGGCTCTTCTTGTGCCCAAGTATTCTCAGCCCTCTTCTCCTCGCCCAGGAAGGCCGATTACATCATTTTAACCTGAGCTGCAAGGCCAGTTTTTCGATTTCAAACTCCTGTTCTCATGAACACCGACTCTTGTTCCTTTAAGTAAATCGGAGCCGAACGCGAACGTTTCCATTGTCAGGATTATCCCAGGAGGGCGAACACTTCACGATGTGTCTCGTTTTAGCAGCGGCTCCAGCTGCTCCGCGGGAGAAAGATGAGGCGTTCTGCTCCCGTAAAGATTAACAGCCTTGGAAAACCTGTGCAGGGTAGCTATGAGTCGGAACCGACTCCACGGCACATAACAACAACAACAACAGTAATCCAAGACATGACCTTTTCTCGCATTTACGAGCTACACCTACACAGAAACACATGGTTACCAAGACTCTCACTGAGCCAAGAACCTTAGCTCTACATCTACAACAAGCGGTCCAACCTAGCAGAGTCCGGAGGACACCCCGGGGAGGGCGGGAGGGGTCAAGAGACTAGTCCACCGTGTTGCGACTGCGCAGTCACTAGGCAGCTCCTAACCGCAGGGCGTGCTCGTAACGCAGCGCACCCTATCAGGCGGCCACAGGGAGCGCGCCTGAGGCCTCGCCCTTTTTTGACTCTGCCGTTTCGACTAGGCTTTAGACCGAGGTTTGGAGATCCGAGCGCTCCACCCTCCTCCCGTGTGCCCCAACACCCTCTTGCGCGCGTGCGCAAAAGCGAACCGCAGGGTGAGGGCGAGAGGGAAGGGCGGGCGTACGTCTTTGCGTGCATCTCAGGCAGCGCGCACGCCAGCGTGAGAGGGCACGAGGAAAAGGTGGCTCTGGCCGGGGCGGTACAGCTTCCCGTGGCTATGTAGCTGAGCCTGTCGGCTCCGGGTCCTTCTTCGCTGCCATCGCCACGTTCTAGCGCGGAGTTGCCGCTCAGAAGAGAGACCGTCCTCACTCCTGCCGTGCTTCCTCGACGGCAGAGCTTGCTCGCTCGCCCGTGGGAGCGTCCCGGCCGAGCAGCACTGAGGGGGGAGGGGAGGCCATTTTGTCCCGACCGACTCCCCGGAACCGGGCGGAGCGGCTGGGAGAGGCTGCGGAGCTGCGGTCACCGCCCTCGGAGGCCCCGGACGTCGCCCCCGTCGGGGCTTCCTGGACAAGGCCGTTCGTAGGTCGCCCGCACCCGTTCGAGCCCTCCTTTTTCCCACGCTTCCCGGGTTCTCCGGCCTGAGAACGCCGGAGTGAGGAGTTGGTCGTAGTGAGAGGGACCGATCCCTTGGGGCCGCCGACGGCGAGAGCCTGAGCCGCTCCTCCCAATGGCGAAGAAGACGTACGACCTGCTTTTCAAGCTGCTCCTAATCGGGGACTCGGGAGTGGGGAAGACCTGCGTCCTTTTTCGTTTTTCGGATGATGCCTTCAATACCACCTTTATTTCCACCATAGGTAAGACTTCTGGGAGGATGGTGTACAGTCTCTGTAACTGCAAACCGTTCCTTTTACTCCAGACATCTTGCTTCCCGTAATATACGCCTTTGTTTCAGTGATTCCTATTCCCAGCGACAGATTCAAGTTGCTGTTTGAATCGGCATTGAGCTTACTGGGGCGGGGTCTGCCCATGCTTTCCATCGGGTCTCTTGCTTTCCAGTCTCCCATTCTGCTTAGTGCCTGATGGTACCCGATTGAACAACGTTCCAGAATCCGGTTTCTTGAAGGTTTCCCCATTATTTGTATGGAAAAAACCCTTCAAGGTTTTTCCCATACTTGATGTGTGATATTTGTAAAGGATGTAGTTTCGTGGTTTGCATTGAAGCCGTTCTTAGTCATTTGGTAAAGGCCTGAATTTACACTTGGGTCGAAGAGAATTCCATATGGTCATAACTTAGACTAAACTTGAGGGTTTGGTTGAAGAATAATTAAGGCAAATTAGAGGGGAGAACCGAGTTGACTAATCCATTGATGTGTCAAACAATCGGAGGCGCTTGGGGTGGGACTCTGGCTTGTGTGCCTCACACTAGTGCTCTCTGAGACAGCACCAGAAGCAGTGATCTAAGGGGTGGTGGTCAGTTCTGTCCTCAAGCCCGACGTAATGAAGGCAACTTCTGTCTTCCCTTTTACTTTGCTCTAGAATTTACGGGAAAGTATTTTGCCAGTCATAGCTCTATGGACTTCTAATGTACTTTCACGTCATGTTTCAGAATTATTTAATATGGAAGTAAAAGCTAGTAAAGATTGACCTTTTAAATCGGTTTCCCGTTTAGGCTAAGAACAGGGAAGGCTCTTGGAAAGTCCCTTTTAACACTGATTGGGAGGTTTTGTGCCATCAGTACTAATGTGCTAAATGAATTGTGTATAAAACCCGTTTCTCCACATAATAAACTTTGTAAAGGATACATGGGCACTTCTGTCACATGGAGTCCAGCAAACTCAGTCCTATTACAGGGCAAAGAAATCTATTTTAGGTGTAACTGATTTTATACTGATGATTTTTAAAAGCAACTGCTGTCTCTTTCAACTTTGGGAGTTCTCAAAATGAAACTGAGCTTTGAACAATTTATACCAATACTGAAACCTTTTAAGAAAAATATTTATCAGCTATTTAATTCCTTTTCATATGAAGCAGATGGGGCAAGTGATTATTTTATCTTTTTTGGGGGAATAACTTTCACTCTGTTAGATTTAATGAAACTTAGAACTTGTTCTATGCCTTGTGGGTTAGCACTTTTCTAGCACTGAGTTTGCTTTTAATATATCACTTTTAGCTGTAGCTGGGTAGGATTAGGTGGTTAGATTGCCAAACAAATATTTTTTGAGTGGTTACGAATCGGGCTGCGAACCTTAAGGTCAGCGGTTCGAAACTACCAGCCGCTCCGCGGGAGAAAGATAAGGCTTTCTACTCCCGTAAGGATTTACACCCTCGGAAACCCTGTACAGACAGGGTCGCTATGGGTCGGGACCGACTCGACGGCACTTAACAACAAATATATATACAAATGTTTGAAGTCTGCATCATTTACTATTGTGTGTATATTGATTCAGGTTTTAACAATAGCAAGTGCATGCATGTTAAT